TATTATGTTAACATGTGATGATCGGCATAATTTTGGCCAAACAAACTGGCCGGATAATTTTGATCGCCCTCTGTATAACTGAATCAGCTAAATATTTACCAAAAGGTATTAGTGCTAAAAGAAATAATTTTGACTAATAGAAGTTAAGAAGGAAGAATTAGAAGTGAGAGTAGAAGAATTGGAAGATAAAATAAAAATAAGATAAGAAGAAGCTGAAAAGATTTTAGAAATAAGTAGATTAGAAAAATGAGAATCTAAAGTTAGTTTGTTTATGTAGATTATCAAAACCAAAAAAAAATGATTTGAAAAAAACTTCTGAAAGGATTAAATTACTAGAAATTTTATAACATTACAAAACTATGTTATATATAAACAACTTCAAAAATTACTAGTTTTACCAATAAAAAACTAATTAAGTTTAAACTGTTAGGTAGTAAGATAAAAAGTAAAGTGAATTAAACTAAGAAAATAGTTAAGAAGAAGTTTAATACTTATATCTTACAAAAGAGCAAATAACATGAAATAAAAATATCAGATTAGTCAGTTAAGAAGAGAAGACAGTTGATACTATAATTTCTATTCTTTTGAGAGTAATAAAAATTCAATTGCTACTTATGAAATGGTAGCCTATAATACTAAAACTAGTAACTTTGATGATATTGCCTACATTTGTGTTAAATATAAAGAAAATCTTGATAATGATACCTTATTATTGTTACCTTACAATACTAATAACTGAAAATTAGTATTAATGTAAGATTAATAAAGGATTTAGCCTTAAGTTTTATATAATAAGAGTTTAGGAAGAGTTCTGAAAGTTTATACAATTAAAATATAATTGGTAAAATAAAGTATAAATACAGTGGTCTCAAAAGTTATGCATTACTTTTACATTAAATTTAAAGTATAAATCATCAATATGTATTTGTATTTATTTTAAAGGTTGAATTTCAGAGAATTTTTTTTTTGTTGAATTCTTAGTAGGATCGGCAGATTTGGCAGATAGTAAAAATCATATGATCTATTATATCAGGTGATCTTTAATTACTTATTACAGTATATTTAAAGAATTTGCATGATTTAATAAAAAGAATAGGAAAAAATATAATCTAATTAAATTACATCATATCAAATAATATGCATTAAAATAAAGGATAACTTACTAGAAATTTTATTGATTGAACTAATACTTTTAATAGGATAGAGTATTTTCTGATTTGTATATTATGTAATTTTCAAAGTAAATTTAAAATTCTTTTATATTTTATTTTGCTTTATTTATTTATAAATTTGCTATATAAAAGAAAAAAACATATTATTTAAAATAGATCAATTAAATCTGATATATTCAAGAATAAACAGAATATATGGGAGCTTGTCAATAGAAAAAGTGGAAATCTAAAAAAATTTTATTTTATGAGCTAATATTAAATCCGAACTTATTTACTAAAAAAAGCATATTTAGCATATGAAGTAAAATTTTAAATTTTTTAGATTTCTATTGACAAGCTCCCATAGATGATGTTGTAAGTATTTTTTAATACTTTCTTTTATTAACCAACTTCCCATTCCAAGAATTGTCGGATTTCTTTTTTTGAACTATTGTTATCCTAACTGCTAAATAACAAAATACTTTATATACCTTTTCTATCACCTTTGATAGAATAATTATATCTTGTAAAGATCAAAATAGGTTATTTTTAGATATTTTTCCAAACTTTTGATACAAACTCTAATTAATATTACTGATAATTTATCTATAAGAGAGTGTCATTTTTAAGACGATCTACTAAAAATCTCTCGTCTTATAAGCAATTTTATCTCATATTTTTTAGAATTTGATTTATCAAAACGCTACATTTCACATTTCAAATGTTTTATTTTATATTAAATAATAATTTTCTACTTTTTTTTAATAATATTTACACATTAAAAAAAGGTCAAATAATTGTATTTTAAATAAAATCGGATAATCATTTAAAATTTTTTTTATTCAGAATGATTTAAAAAGATAACGTAAAAAGATGACGAAGAATCCATTTAGAATGATTTAAAAAGAATATTTGAAAGTACTGGAGGGCTAGCGCGGTAATCTCAAAAAAGAACTCCGTACGTCCGTTATGTCCGTTATGTCCGAATTGATAATTGGATCAGTCTTTAATTAATTTTATCGAAATAAGAAATGATACTCAATAAAACAAGCACATGATTAATTTGTTTACTATTAATCAAAGTCATTGTGTTTCGTCTTGTCCAAAAGGGGGCGTCATCCCAAACCCAAAAAGTATTTTCAATTTAAAGCCACACCGGCGATTATTCAGAATCCCGGAGAAAAAAAATTTTTTTTTTTGTTTACATCAATCAAACAAACATGATGCAAAACTTAGACTTAACAAACATTCCGAAAATCTCTCTTTAGTTGACGCCATACATTGGCGCAGTATAATTCAATTTAAAAAATAATTCATAACAAGGAAAAGATTCTTAAAAAAAATTTAAATTGTTTATTCAAAGGAACCTTACTCTTTTCATTCCGGGTTTGGGTTTGAAGTGATGACAAAAAAGGGTGTTATTGTTAGGATGTGTAAAAAGTTAGAATCTAAATCCTATGAAAGAAATAAAATAAATGTTTAAAGGGGAAAAGAATTAATGCTAAATAGAACAATTGGAAATCTCTTATTTTAATAAAGCAGATATACGAAGAATTTTTAATATTCAAATATTGACAGAAATCTTTAAAAAAATTACAAGAAAATTATGAAAAAGATTTTGCGAATAAAAAAAGCTGTAAAAAAATTTAAATCAATCAAACTTCCTTCTTTAACCCTGAACTATACACTCTACCGCCTGGGGTTGCAACCTCAGAGTTTGTTTGAATTGAGCTACAGCTTGTTGATTTTCAGCAGTCGCCTCAGGTCCTGAAATGGCTTGAATGTGAGAATTTAAAACATTTGTCCATAGTTTATACATATCTTCTCCTATAAACAAATTGTAATCAATAAGTTTAAGGAAACGTCTTTCTATAGAATTTATTTCTTGAACAGGGAGTCCACATATCTTTGACCAAGCATTATTTGCATAATTTCGATCCTGAAGATATTTTGATGCAATGATAAGAGATGCAAGAAACATTCGACGTCCACAAGTGGCTGGATCACTACCTTGATTATTATTATCTTTGGAGCTTAGTGTCCAACGATCGGGATTATGCCAAAGATATAATATTTGCGGCTTTATTTTTTTGAGATAGAATAAAGCCGTTTGAAGTGTTGACCAAGAAGTTCTCGATCGACGCAACGTTTCTTGAATAAATAAGCGAAGTGGGATGACTTGCGAATTAAAATGAACGGGAAAATTATACCAAATTTCATCAATAATTATTGCCGTCGTATCTATAAAAGAAAATCCTATTGATGAGATTCGAATGATTTGATTTTTAAAGAATGGTGATTTTAATTTACCAAGAATCACTTACCAACAAGATTTTCTACTAAAACTACCTTTCGATCATTTTTACAGTTATTATTATTCTTAATGGAAGTCTTATTTGGATGCTTTGGATGCTTTTGTTGATCACATGGTATTGCATGACCTAATGATGGCTGATGAATGTTTTCCTGAAAATGGTTGTTATCTGTGGCGGGAATCATCCCCCCATTTTGGGCGTTTTCCGGAATCTTGTGAGTCACCATGCATACCTTCCCATTTGGGACTGCTACTGGGAGAGAAAAAAAAAAAGCTCTCATTTAGTTTTTGGAATTATTAAAAGAAAAAAAAATAAAATTTCGAAAGAGAAAAAAAATGTAAAAAGATAAAAAAAATAAGTAAAATGACAAAACAAACCTTCTCTGAGGGGCATTTGAGAGACCGGAATTGAAGAATAAAATATATCTATCATGTTGTCTTGACAAAAATATATGATAAGAGTAAGGTTCAAATGAATAAACAATAAAACATATAAGAAAAAGGTTCTGCCGTCAACGCAGAATTAAATTTTTTTTGTATTCTAAATTTTTGAGGTTTAAGAGAAAGCTTTACGTTTCAGAAACGAAAATATTTTTAAAAAATTTGTTCAAGAATTTGTCCCCATATTTATAGTTATTGCCACACAGTGCAGTGTTTGACTCATCACTGCGGGTTTTGGCTAATTTTGCTTTGCCGGGTAACTCCGGTTAGATAAGTCACCCAATATTTATTTATCACGTGTTATGACTTACACTTCATCAAAGATGTCTAATACTCATTTGGAAATTATTTTTTTTCTCTCAAAGTGTGTATAGAATGTCAGAGAAAAATCGATAGAATTGATTCACATCAAATAATGAGTCACCTCATTTATTCTATGTTTGGAAACACAAAAATTCCCAAGACATACAAACAGACAATCTCAAAAACAAAGCAATTTTCTGATTTCAATCTTGTGTCCCTCCATAACTTGATACAACTTTGAGGGTCTCCCTTATTAATAAGGAAGATAATAAAGAAAATCTTTGATAACAGGCAGGGGTTTATTATCCCTGTTTGAATATAACCCAGACAAAGGAAACGGTATTTTTAAAATAAGTGACTGCCGTAGCAAATTTGAATTATATCACTTACTTGCGGGACTAATTTCAGCCGAGGAAAAGTATAATTAGCGCAGCGCATTATTTTTCCGCAGCTACGACCCGAAAAATTATTAATAAGCATGAACGCGAACTGTATCTCATTAATTGAATGAATAAATAGTTCTGACTAAATCTCACGCAAAATTACATTATATTCATTAATAGATAATTGACTAATTTAACAATATACTGCATTAACAGTTGAGCGGGTCCGACTAAATCGAGTGTTTATCGTCATTGTCATGTCACTATAAGATAGTACCTTTATGCAAATGCAACCAACGGAACAACTGTTTCTAACGCAAAATATTTTCGAAATGACGTACCATTAACACAAAAAAAACAATATTCGGATGACCCCTACATCAGGAGCTTTTTGCAGGCGTATATGGTATCAATCCTGATAAAGGCGTCATATTTAGGCGTAGTACTTTCCTATCTGAGTTCTAGGCACAATCTTGTGAAACCACGAACAATTAAGTATGAGGCCAAAAATTCCTTTGAATTGTGATTTAATATTGTGTTTTCTATTAAGGGAAATTTGTCATTATTGAAATCAAAGGAACAGTGATTGTTCTTTCATCGGAATTTGTGGTTAAGATTTCAAAATTTATTTGCATGATATGTTTTTAACTTTAAACTGTCGATTAAAAAAAAATCACGTTTTTATTTAATTTTTTTTTTTAATCAAAATATTACGCGAAAATCAGACGATGTCTTGTTGCATGTTCCAATGTCAATCAACATCATAATTTGTGACATGTATTGATTACTTATTCTTAGGGTATTTCAAGCGGCTATCACCTGTTTAATACCCGATATATAAACAAAAATCTTGGAAATGTTTCTTTTTTCTTTTCGAGTAATCATTCCGATGCCGATCTCAAATTCGGTCAAAGATTCCTAATTTGGATAAAAATTTAGCTAAAAATAAATTAATTAAAGAAAAAAAATAAAAAAATAACTAAATCATAGTCTTATTTAAGGCGAAAAAGATTTCTTGTTACATAATTGGATTTTTTTTTTTTAACCAATCCATTAACCTTCAATATCTTTAAAAAGAAGTTTTTAGCTTTTTTTGACTGTTTAAAAATTAAATAACTGATGATGATATATAAAACGGAGGAATATTTTCTATTTTTAGTATGTTAATCTGATCTTTAAATGGTTCAAAAATTTCTTGTAATATAGTATATGATATTTTAAAAATAGGTTTTTATTATTCTAAAAACATCCAAAAATATTTTTTGCTTATAATAAACATTTTTACAAAATATTATTATAAAAGATAAATTTATAACTTTAAAAGATTGTAAGTTTACTTAATAAAAGTTTTAATACTACTTATTATTCTAATATTATTTATAAATATCTTGATAATATTAGTTTAAAAGCTTAAATTATACAAAATAAACCTTTTTTTTAACTAATAAACAATATATTTTTAATTAAAATAATAATAAATTTAAGAGTAATTAAAGGAATAAATAAATAAAATAAAGTGATATAATCTAATAAGTTTAGATTTATTTATTTTAAATCAAATGGTTAGATAAAAGTATAATAAAAAGTAAAAGAAGCTTATAATACAAATTATATTAAATTTACTATTAAGTTTATGAAAAATCTGTTATATTTATAAGTTATTAATATTAAAATAAAATTAGATTATTAATCATAGTTAAAAAAATTAAATTTTGATTTATATTAAAATAGAAGTGATTTTATAGGATTTATATAATATTAAAATAAGTATGAGAAGAAAATTTATAGAAATAGCCAAAATATTCATATAAATATTTTCTTTTTTAGATAATTTTTGATAATTTTGGTCAGTATTTACTACTTTTATAGTAATTGACTGGAATTATTATAATTTAAATTCTGAAATGATATATACAATTAATAGTAATTTTTTTTTTTAGCTTAATCTTACCTATTTTACTATTTTTCAAGATCCTGATTTTATTATATTAAATTAATTAATTAAATTAAATTATTAAATTTAAATAAGATGATCAAAATATAAAAGAAATTTAATATGTATAGATTATTAACAGAGATTTGAAAGATTAATTATTAAAAATGTGAAAAATTAACTAAATTATAATAATATTTCTAATAGTTAATAAAAGATAATAATTAAGTAATTATGATATAAGTATTTATAAAAGATTATAATATGGAAAATATAAAGAAAAAGTAAGTCAAATAAATTAAAAATAAAAGAATATATAAAAACTAAAAGAAATAGTTAGAAAATGGAAATATGTATTATAAGTATCAACTTAAGATTACTTGTCTAAACTTATTTTTGATTTGGCTAAACATTTAGACCTTTAGGTTTACTAATTTTTATTAAGTATTTGATATAGTTTTCACTATTTTTATAAGCTTTGATATAATTTTACTTTTTTTCAAATTTTGCAGATTTTTTAATAAGGTTTTAATATAATTTTACTAAGTTTTACTTTATAATTTAAACGCTTGTCTAAACTCTAGATTTTGTTTAGCAACTTTAGTTATGATTTAAAAAATAGACACTTAAAAATTTTTTTGATTAAATTAATATCTTATTATATTTTAGTTTAAATGTAATAAAAATAAAATACAATTAAAATCTCAATTTTAATAAAAAATACCTAGAACTTAATTTTCTGAACATAACCCATATATTAAAGATGGGAACTGTAATTAATATATTGCAATTTTTAATGTTGCAACTTACATTGCAATTAGTTTTAATCTATATACAGTATATACAGTGGTTTACAAAAGAAACGCAAGTAGAGTTGCTTGCCTTAAAAGCTTATAACTCACTAACACAAATACTAGAAATATAGTTTTGTATCTGTTTTAAATCTCAAAACCTAGCTAATATTCAGTAAAAATTTGAAGTGCCAATTTTGCGCAATTTAACGATCTACATTAAATATTCATATTTAATGAAATTTAAGTATAGAAAATTTTTTCAGTAGGCTGACTACCCAAAAACTGATACTGAATTCCGATTCTCCTCAGTGCGATGATTCTAACAAGCTAAAATTCGTCAAAATAAGATCAGTAGATTAATGAAAAATCAATCTACAAGATCGCTTCGTGTTATATATAAATATATTTTTTTTAATACTTTTACTAGGCATGCACCAGTGGTAAATATTTGAATGCATATCCTTCAACTAGGGTTGGTAAAAGTCCTAATAAGTCCTAGTTAGTCTTTAAGAATTAAAAGATAATTTTAATTTATATACTATTAATTAA